ATCAATGTGATCAATTATCCGTTGAGTGACACCTGCTGTGTGAGTGACAGTGTTGACCCAAGTATAGCTTGTGGTGTAGTCGACAATAACTTCAAAGTAGTTGGAACTGTCAAGAGAACGTGAACTGATCTTTCCAGTTTGGTAAGTACACAGCATCTGCAGCGGGGCTAAATCAAAATGAGGTTTGGCCATGAGGTGTTGCTGGCGCATCTTTGCCATATCGCAAATGAGGCAAGGCTCGCGTGTTGTTGGTGGTGGAGCAGAAGTACTGTCAACATCACCAGACTTGAGAGTGTTGCGAACTTGCTCTTGGTGGATGTGGCCAAAACGTCGGTGCCATAGGTTGCATGGAGTTGCTGGTGATCCATAGGCAATGGGCTCAACTGAAATTTTCCTCTGCGCAGCTGGGTGCTGGACTGGGATGAGATAGTAAAGGCTGTCACGTCGTTTGCCAATCTTGATGCCACGTTGTGATTCGAGTGTAGCAAGATCAAGAAGAAAGACAGAATCTTGAGTGAATAGCATCCCAGCAGTTGGGTCTTGGAGGACATGCGACACAGAGAGGAGCGGTTCCTTGAGTGATTGGACATGAAGCACATTGTGGAGCACCACATCAAAACCAGGAAAAGTGAGAATGACAGATCCAATTCCTTCGATGCGGCATTCATGGTCATCTGCTAGGCGGGCATGGTGTTTGGTTTCAAATCATTGGTACTCAGTGAATTGCTCCCGTTGTGGGATCATTGTGGGTACAGCTCCCTGCACAGAACTCGCACCCAGTGCCTTCAACTCTTCCAAGATGCTGATGGATTGAGGTAGCCTTTGGCTCCAGCCTATGGGTGACTCCTGGCTTGCGGCAGTCACGACAGTCCCTTCCATGTGGAAAATATATGCCTCGTAGTAACCACACCAGTAGCATGGCCTATCCCCACAACAAGGGGAGCACGAGTGGTTGCGGTTGCCATGGATGTTGTAACTCCTGTTGTCATTGTTCCTGTAGTTACTTCCTTGGCGATTGTTTTGTTCTGTTCGCTCATGGTGATTGCAACCTCCTTGGATGTGGTCACTTTCGTGGTGTCTATCCTTGCGGTCGCTATGGTTTATGAGGCATTACATAATGGTAGCAGGTTGAGCTTGTTAGCTCTGCCATCATCTTGTTAACTCTGTCCATCTGGGCTTAGCACTTCTCCCACAGAAGTGTTTCAGTTCTAAGTCATTTCCAAAAGTGAGGGGCATTCGCCAGGCATAGTAGGACTTTGCATTTATGCTCAGTCTGTCAACTAGCAGGTCTCAATCTTGGCACCTTCCCAATTGAAGGGAACGCTCCAACCACTGAGCAAGGGAGCCTTGTATCAGCAATCACAATGGCTACTAGCCATATTATCAAAGTTGCAACTCCCCGCACAGTGGCCACTACCAATCCTTGTGGACAATCAACCTGCAATTGCACTCGGTGCTCAACCCCCCACACATGTTTGCACAAAACACATTGACATACGTGCTCATTTCCTCCGACAAGGCGTAGCCACTGGAGAGATCACTGTAAGCTATGTACCAACCAGTGACCAGATCGCAGACATCTCACAAAACCACTCTCAACGTCTCAGCACCTGCGACTGACCTCACTTCTTGGCCTCCAACCCTGCTCCCACCTTTTGAACGCCCTTTTGGTCAAAGCCTCAGATGCTTATGCAGGCTTTGCATAACAGGTGCTGCACCCATGGCCATCGTGTGGGAGGGTGTAAGGCAGAACTGACTGGTTAGAAGCAAGAGGCACAAGACAGACCTGAACCTATTGTGACTGTCAGTTATCGTTCTCACGATGCCCATGGGAGAGAGAGCCACCACCAATGCAGACCTGGACGCTGGCTTGTGCTGTTGACAAATACTCCAAGTATTAAGTGGAATGGAAACCTGGTGTTAACCGTTTTCCTCCTCCTCTGCTCAAGTAGATAATATAGGAGAGGTTTTTACTCTGTGCCAGTCACACTAGCCTTGCAACTATTACAGTGTGCATATCATCATTATGTGTCAATAATTCATGACAGAGTTTCTCTTTCTCTCCAAGTTGGGGAGAAGGACCACCCACAGACACACATCTCCACTTCATTCACTCCTTCCAGGAGAGAGAAACAGACAGACAGACAGAGCGGCAGAGAGAGAGACAGACAGACAGGCGCTCTGTCAGTCAGTCTGTCAGTCTCTCTGCCACTCCCAGGTAGACAGACAGCCTGGTGACTTCCTTTTCCAGGTCGCCGTGCTGAGTTTTGATTCTGCACCAAAGATAAAAAGTAAACCGCTCAAATGCAATTAGGAAAATAGTTTAGCCATAACCCCTTGTTCTTTTCAGTGTATTGATATTAGGCACTGGAAGGTTGTCATCTCGTCTCAATGCAAGAAACACCACCTTTTTGGAGTGTGACATGTGGATGCGACCGAGCTGCATTCAGCCACATCCACTGCTCTCACATTTCTCTCACAAAACACTATCAAACCCATTCATCCCAACGATCCCCCCCTCACCCAGCAGCTGTCGGTTTATGAAACATAGTGTTGGCAGGTAAATATAGGCCCGGTTAGCTCAGTTTGGTAGAGCGTGAGACTTTTAGGGCTCTGACGGGCTTGGAAAGGCATCTTAAGGTCGTGGGTTCGACCCCCACATCGGGCGCTTCCAAACGTCCTGCGCCTGACAACTAGCAATGGTCTCTGTGCAATGTCTGATACTCCTGTGAGCACAGATTAGTTCACATTATCAAAAGGGAGGAACCCAGAGAACAGAGAATACGACAGTTTGTTGTTCCTGCCCAGCTCACTGCCATGAATCCAGCAATAATCACAACCTATGAATGCAAAAGGAAGCGGTTATGCAGTTTAGGACCCGCACGGCCCACTGGCTGTGGCGTCCCATTGGTTTTCCAACAGGCAGCTTTCTTGGGGACCAACCAACTCACATCCTCTGCACCCAGGCTATGGTGAGGAGAGCAGTGCATAAACAGAAGCCACAGGAGAAGGAAAGCCGTCTGGAATCAAGAAAAGGGGAAGGTAAGGAAGAGCAAAGCGACAAAATTGTGGTGAGGGTGGCAAACGCTGGTGAGCGCAATTTAGGTGAATGGTCACGAACCCCCTGTGACGCCTAGAGCCTTTGTTTCCGGTCCTCGTTGTCTGAGCTTCTCCCTTTGTTTCTGGTCTTCTTTGTCCGAGTTTCTCTACAATCTGCGTCTGCATTTCATCTGGTCGTTGAGTCATTCCGCTTTCCTTGAGTTGATTGTTTCTTCCAGTTTCTATTTAGGTTCTTCTAGTTTCGCTGATTTGATTGTTTCTTCCTCTGGTTCTGTATTGTATTTCTTCTCGTGGCTTTCCTCGTTGCTCAGTAGTTCTTTCTACATCCGTCTTTCTCAGTTGTTTCACTTGCATCCCTTGCAATACTTCCCCCAGTGAGCGTGCTTCCTCCCTCACTGGCCTTCCCCGCATCCGCTGGCCTCCTGCCAGCAGGCCTGCAGGCTCAATTTGTTACAACTCCTATACTATGTCCAAAAAGAGCGCCCAGCAAAACCGCAGGAGCCACTCCTGCCGTGTGATGTGGAAGAGTGGGCCGTAAGGATTGGCGGATAGGATAGGATGGGATGAAACTGGCTTAAACAAAACTGTATCCTATCCAAAGCCTTCTGAACCATATCCTAACTGGTGCAACCGAGCCTTAACCAGAGCTAAGGCTGCGCACCGCAGACTTGGAGCGTACTTTTAGTAACAACTGCCCCGCAACCGACAACACAGTTGCCCAATGCGCAGCTGCAACTTTTGTTTCTTCGTTTTTGTAAACCACCTATAGTTGGCAGAACCACAGCACTGTTGGTGATTGCACCTGGCGTGTCAGAAGGGCACCAACAGACCTGAGTCAGCGTGGAGCGATAAAGCTTGTTTAGAGCATGAGCCCTTCTCTTGTTAAGAGCGAAGCGCCCTTTGTTGCCAAAGCAGATGGAGAGCCAATGCTCTCAGACAGATTGGTCTTCTTTAGAGTGCAGAGCACACCCTTTTCTTGCAAGAGCGAAGTGCCCTATACGAACAAGGCATTGACCCGAGGTAGAACTTGAAGAGCTTCACAGGTCAAGGTAGAGGGTATGTTGACTCAGATAAGAATAATGGTTATTGTTTGTTGTATTCGAGGGTAGAGAGAGAGAGCAGGCAGATGTGATCAGGATCTGGGATGATGTTTCTCTGGAGCTGCTGGGGCTCCCCCTTTTATACTGCAGGTGGCCTCAGGAATCAGACTTTGGTGATAGCCTTTTAGCTCTGAGAGATAGAGTTTAGACTTTGAGGAGTCAGGAGGCAGGCATGACATCATTGTTGCATCACGCTGATTTGGCCAGAACTTCCATGGAGTTATGTGTGCAAAGAAGTAAGTCAGGCTCCCTGTCAGGCTCCTGTAATCATTCCTATCAAATTGCAAGAGTGAAGCACACTGATGTGGTCTACCCAGACTGGGGATTGAAACCACCTCTAAGCACTCGTACAGTGTCAGAGATTGAGAAAAGTGTAGATAACACTGGGATCAGCCCTTATGCCATCTTAACTTATTGTTACTCTTGAAGACAGGTCAGAGGATCTTAAAAGGTGTAGGTAATGTGTGCAAACTCCAACAAGCACGGACCGAGGCCTAAAAAAAAAGGCCGTTCCGCCCCTCAAAAGTTGCGTCTGGTCCGGGAAAGGGTCCGTCTAGTGCGCAGGAACTGGGTTCCGTGTACCAGTCCGTTGGCACGGACCGCCACGGACCCACAGGAAGGGGCCGGTCTGTCGAGAGCCTTAATTGTGGCGAGTGGGTGCCAAAGTTGTCCTTTTCATAACTGCTTGCAGAACACAGCGAAGCCAAGGACCAGTCTGAGATAACGTGTAGTCACACAGGAATGGTCCAATACGTCCCAATATCAGACCTACTCACCCACCTAGTGCAAGCAGGCTTGAAGACGATTTTAGGAAATGAAGAATAAAATCTTCTGTAAGTAGCCACGGTTAGCTCAGTTTGGTAGAGCGTGAGACTTTTAAGGGCCTCTGGAGGCGCGAAAGTACATCTTAAGGTCGTGGGTTCGACCCCCACATCGGGCGGGCTCGGATGAGTTGTTGACAACTGAATCGAAAATTCTCATGTGCAGACAACAAAATTTTAGGATGGTTGGATAAAACTGCAATCTTGGCTTATCCTATCTGCAGTGCGCTTCAGGATCTGGCGAAATTGCTCAACTGGCGTGCGGTTGGGATGCATTCAGGATAAGGATAACACAATGCATATCATGAGTAAGGTGCAGTTCGCAGTGCGGTTCCTACGTTTTTCTAATTAAGTCCAGTTTAGCGCTTCAATCGCGCCAGTTAATGGTTAAACTGTGCCTCGGTTAGACCTTTTTTGCTGTTTGCAGTTACGGTTCAGTAACTATGAGATTCTTGAGTATCTCACATAAGTTGTTGTTGTAGTTTTTGTTCTACAGCTCTTACTTTACTATGATTTGGCACAACAAAATGTATATTTTCATATGAGAAGTGTGACCCTATTAAAAAGTGGAATTGATTCCGGTTGTTTCTCTAATAATAATAATTTTTTCCACTATGCAGACTTCATTTTAGTCTGGCAACGAAGAATTGCCACTAATTAACACATTTAGAATCATCATCTCTGTGATAATGAAGAGCTATTTGGCTCCTTGGTTTCAAATGGGTCTATGCAGCCTTGGAGCCCCTTCTTGTTTATATCTGTATCTAATGATGTAAATGCTTCTTATCTGTTATCTTTTCTTCCTTGTCATTAATTTCCTAATGCCACTCTTCATACAATAGCTGCCCTTGGAGAAGTAGCCTCATTAATATTATACAACCACCCCAACTAATAAATGCCATTTATAACGAATTAGATCTGTTCCGCTACTATTAGCACCCCTCCAACCTTTATTTCTTCCCCTCTTTTGAAGGAAGCCTGCGTGGGCCCATCCAACCTGCCATGGCAGGCTTGATGAGAGTTCACTCAAGCATGTGTATTGGAAACAATATTTCACTTGAGGGATGGGACAGGTCCCCCAACCCCCTTTTATACCTTTTGAGAGTCTTCCTTGTCAAGATTCAAAGAAAGTTCCAGAAAGAGTAATTATGTCAAGATTCAAAGAAAGTTCCAGAAAGAGTAATTAGTAATACAATGATACCAATGATACCAATGACAACAAGACAAGTCAGGAAAGCAAAGAAGGTTCCACGAAGGAATGTTCCAGAAGGTTCCAGAGGTTTCTAGAGGGTGATTCATAACAGCTTGGTGGGGTGCGTGTACAATCAGAGGTGTTTCTGTGTGAGAGTTCCCTGCTGGCCGCCTTCTGACCCCTATATAGTCGACTCCTTTTCTCTCTTCCCCTCATCGCTGGCGACAAGGTCTCCCACAGCACCCCCTGCGATGAGGGGCGCTAGGCCACACCCTGCCCGTCCCATTGCTATTAACCACTCCCGTTGCAATTGAGATTTGGTTCCTGTGATAAAAACACCTGTTTCCCTTTTCCCTCTTTATTCTGCAGTTGTGTTGTGCCCTTGGGAGTGCCCTTCTGTTTCCCCTCACACCAGACTGTGGCCACACAAGTAATCAGTGTGCACCGATTCCTCAGAGGATTGTCCCTCTGAATGTTCATTCTTTGTGTTTGAGACCCCTGTTTGACAGATCAGTAGGGATACTTTGTGGATTAGGCAAGTATTAGGGTTTGAAACACATCCTAGACAACTGCCCAATAAAGTTAGTTTTAGCCTATTATTTGCTTTCCTTCACTCTAGGGCCTGGATCCCAGCGTCGAAGGAGTGAGTATAGTCTCACACCTGTGTGCAGGCTCTGACACTCGACTGTGTTGAGGTATTCAACACTACGGGTTGAGGCACAATGGTTTTTGCCAGGACGAAACGCCTTTCAAGGCTGACATCATGTGCGGCAGGTACGGAAGGGCGGACAATTTTAAGATATGATCGACCTTGTTGCAAAGGATTCATACGTGCTTACAGTGTATGTGTCGTCTTTCAAGAAAGAAAGGTGCATAAAGAAAAAAAAATCCCACGTGCAGTTCTAGTCCTCTTTCACTACAACAACGTACCAGTTGTCCCGGTCATACCCCGCTGCTTCAATCTTCAACCCCCCGGCCTCGTGTACCAGCGACTCCAGCTCACCTTTGACAAAGAGGTGGTAGTACCTTTGGAAACGACGGGGTGGAGAGACACGACCGGTCAGCACATAGTAACTAACAGTACAACGGTACGCACCTCTGGTACACGACGGTTCCCTCCGTCCCCCCCGACCCCGCCGCCGGCCCCGCCTCGCCCGCATCGTTCCCGCCGCCCAACCCCGCCCCCGCACCCGCCGCCGCCGTCGTCGTCCCGTACACCTTTGCGTTCATCGTCCACGGCACAAACACGTCCTGCCCGTCAAACCGCCGCTTCCCTTCCTGCTCCTTCGCCCACACAAACACCAGCGCGCGCCCGCCGCACCGCAGCACCCGCGCGATCTCGCGCAGCGCGGACGCGCGCCGCGAGGCGGTCGAGAAGTGGTGGATCACCGCGATCGAGATGGAGAAGTCCTGTTTGCGGGGGCTGGTGAGCGGAGGGGCGCAAGAGCGAGTGGGCGACGTACGAAGGAGCCGGTGCGGTACGGGAGGGAGAGGTTGTCGGCGACGAGGGCTTCGAAGCCGCGAGTGCGGCAGATTTGGAGGAGGTTCCGGCTCCTGTATGTTTCAAGGCGAGGGAGGGTTAGGGTGTCACGGTGCCACGTAGGGATGCAAAGGGGGCCGAAGCGGCGGACGGGGTGTCTCGTACATATCGGAGCCGAGGATCATCACGTCCTTGTTGACGCCCATATACTTGCCGTTGCCGCAGCCGATGTCGGCGCCGAGCGAGCCGAGTGGGAGGGAGCTATTTTTTTTTGTTGGAAAGCAGGTAAGAGCCGGTGCGCATGGCTGTGTCAAGTAAGAAAAAACAGCAAGAATTGAGCGGCGCACCGGAGAAAGTTGTCGACGACGGGCCATGGCTGTGTAATTGGGGGGGGGGAGGGGAGGTTATTGATTTGCGACGATTGTAAACGACGGTTCGGTGCAAGGTCACATCTCCCCCTCTTATCCAAAATCGTAATAATGTCCACGATCCCTCGATCGCGGGATGGGATCGGATCGCCATCGTGGCGATCGAAGATACCTTGTACCGCGTCGCGGAAAAGTGCGGCGCGATGGCATCGTACACGGCGTGAACGTGCTCCCGCTCGAGCTCGGCCATATCAGCGCAAGCAGGAGTTGCCTGATATTTGCTATGACAAGGTTGGACTGGGGTCAACAATTCGGCTCGACTCGACAATTCGACGGAAACCCTTTATTGCTTGTACTGCCAACCAATCCACGCCTGCGCCCAGCTCGATATCCCCTCCCCCCCGGCCTCCTTTTCATATTCCTCCACGTTTCCAAAAGCCCACCCTCCACCACGTCGAGCATCCCGGTCATCGCCGACCCCTGCTGGCGCCGCGGAACTGCGGTCGCGGCGGCGCCATGTTCGTCGGCGACAACGGGGGGCTGGGCGTCTGTCCGCGCGGTGGGGGCGAGTTGGGTCGAACAACGACGCGCGGAGGCCTTGGGGCGGCGGGCGCAGGACGAGGTGGGGGCCGGGGCCTCGGTGGCGTTGCTGGACGGGAAACGTTTTGCGTCGGAGTGGAAGTGAACAAAGGGGGTTGTCAGGCACAGGGAGGGCAGAAATCTGAAATAGGGCGGATTCAACGTACGTGGTCGTTCGGGGGCCCTAATGGGTGGGGGGAAGGCGGTGTGGGGAGGAGAATTGTTGTGAGCGTGTGACCTCGCTGTGCATTGCGGTGGGGATTTGGCGAGAGGGGAAAAAAGGTCGAACAGATGCCAGGTAGGCGCGCGGAGGTGAACCGGAGGAGTAATGCTCTGGTTAAACAGCACTCTAGACCATACTTGCGGCGGACCAGCTTGACAAGCGGAGCTTGGTCACGGCTGTCGGCGGCGGCGGCGGACGCGACCAGCGCGGCCAGAAGTGTGAACACGAGGATGACAGCGCGCATCGTCTCAGGGGTGAGTGTGATTGGTTTCTCTTGCTTTCTCCCTTCCTTTCCGTTTATTGGTGAGTGTTCGGAAACAGCTTCAATGTCCTTTTTATTCCCACTTTGCGAGGGCGGAGCACCGTGCAATTTCGTTCGTTCGAAAGGGCGTCTCGGCTAAGAACGCGAGACACCCACTGGTGGGTTCTTTCGCCAAGAAGGCTGCGTTTCGCTCGAATTGTGGCGCGCGGGCTGAGGAAATCCGGTTCGGGCTGCCGGCACGCTGCGGACTCTGAAAAAGCACGGGTGTTTTCGTGCTCGCTCAGTTCAACCCTCTTGCGCCACCGGCGTGGCGCACTAAATACCTTCTACTAATATCAAGATCTCCGCTTCGCCCGCCCCGACATCAGCGTGTTTGCCAAATGGGCTTCTCGCCATACCCTGATGGAAAACGCAACTGTCATTCTGTTTCAAAGGCAGAGAGAGTCCTGCGGGCGACCCGCGTATCGATTGTATCGATTGCGTCTTTGACGACGGAGAAACGCCCCGTCGCCGCTGTCTGGGGGGGGGGGCTGACCCTGCCTCTCGATTTCGGAGTGGGTGGACGTCAACAACGATCGGATCATAGTGCTTGCATTTCCCTTGCCCGGGGCATTTCAAAAGTTGCCATCGAATCGATCCGCAACAACTGTGCATGTTCGCACGTCTTGATGACTCCGCCTTCATCAGTTTAATCACTTTCAGTCCACTCATCTTCCCGCCAACACCGCTCCTATTTCTGTTCCCAATTTAAATCCTCCCTTCCTCAATAAAAACGGGCAGTTCTGCACGCATCGTTGCAGAAGCCAACACTGTCCCTCAAGCGCAGGCCAGAACCTCGTCGGTGTTTTTGAAGCAGGGGGATGGACGCATTACAGAATTGTCGATGTGAGCAGAGTCGAAGCTCATTCGGCGGTGTGCGGAGGCCCCGGGTGAGCTGGCGGAATGACGGGCATATGCTACTAATGTTCTCATTTTGATATTCGCTGTGCAGGCAAGCACTCCTCTTCAATTTTGTTTTCATTTTTTTTTCTTTTGTCTTTCTTTGTTTGTAAGAGCATTTGTTTGAAGCCACATCCATGGGTGGTGCTGCTTGCTGGCTGCTTGCTGGCTGCTTGCTGGCTGCTGAACTGCTGACCGTTCAACTCGAAGGCACAGGTGTGTTGTTTAAAAAGAGTTTTAGAATTGCAAGCGATAGGGCAGATGGCCGAGCGGTCCAAGGCGCTACGTTCAGGTCGTAGTCTCGAGAGGGGCGTGGGTTCGAATCCCACTCTGCTCACCACTGGGTCCAACAGGATTATCCTGCAGAAAGGTGTAGAGACGAAACGAAGCAAATGTTTCATCACAGCAAATCGCCTCGCCATGACAGCTCTGCGTTTTTCAGAATTGCACTGGACTTTAGATCAATTGAAAGAAACTTTATGTCAAATCGAAAAGGTGATTACTTTTTCTATGCGTTGATTGGGGACATGCCACAAATTCGATCCCTGTTGCCAATCTCTGAGGGCAAAGACAAACAAAATGGTTGTCTTGGAAGGCTGTAGACCAGAGCGAAGCTGTTTTGATTCCTTTCTTTCTTTTTTTTTTTTTTTTTTTTTTTTCTAGTATTGGTGGCTGTCAAGGAGGTTTTGCAAAATTTCCTGCATCACCAAACTGAGCACCAACAATGGCTGTCATCTGTGTCTGTAAAGTTGTTTTGGGTGCTACCTTATGTTTCTTTTTTTTTCCTTTCCACAACGAACAAATGCTCTTCTTGGATGACAGTCTTAGCCCCCAAACCCTTACGAAAATAGTTTTACATGCACAAGCTGGTGACTGATTGTTTCTCCAGCATTAAGCCTATTGAGTTCGGGCAATTTTTGGACAGGTATTGTGGAGTGCTGATATTGCAGCTCTAGCCCAAAAGCTTTGGTTTATTAAGTTGTTTGCATGTTTTCCCAAAGCTCTTTTGGTCTGCAAATAGCCTTCAAGCAATCTGAAAACAGAACAAGGTGTGCCATGTCATGGACCAACAAACATCACAAAAACAAGAAAGAAAAAGAGCTGGAAGAAAGCCAAATCTGCTCAAGAGTCAAAACAACAAAAAATGAGAAACAAAGTGCACTTCATTTTGAAGTGAAAGCGACATGACAAACCAAAGTTTTCAGGCTACTGCTGTGAGAGGTATCCAAGTTGCACAAAAATGAAAAGTGGAAAAAATGGTGGGAAAGCTGTGGTGCTGCTGGGTGAAGCAATCAAATTCAGTGGTAGCCTGAAAACTTTTGGTTACCAAGCGAAAATCAAAAGAAAATCAACTCAAAATCACGACTAGAGACTGACAGCTGAATACCCACAGACAAGCTTCTTTGTCCGTTTCAGCAAGTCTGCCTCTCATCCAGTCCAACAGTTGATTTCTCCTTGTTTTTCAGGCAGTCGACCAGAGCTTTCGAGCTGGCACAGTAAAGCATTTATTTCAATGAGGAATATGGGGGTCCCAAAGCACTACTCGGAGGACTTGACCCACCAACCTTGCAGTTTGCTGTACATGTCTAACAACTGCATGGGCTAACCAATTGCACCAAGGCAACCCATGCTCATAGTTTCATTCTTGTGACAGTAGACAATATTTTTACACTTTCAGCACATCCCTCCTTTTGTCTGTCTCTCAATCTCACTCTTGCCCTCCCTCTTTCCCATGCACTCTGTTGTCAGGAACATGGCAGGACAGGGCAAGGCAGACAAGGAACTGAGAGGAGTGATGATTGTATTGGAAACAACAATTCACTTGAGGGATGGGACAGGTCCCCCATCCCCCTTTTATACCTTTTGAGAGTCTTCCTTGTCAAGACTCAAAGAAGTTCCAGAAAGAGCAATTAGTAATACAATGATACCAATGATACCAATGACAACAAGACAAGTCAGGAAAGCAAAGAAGGTTCCAGAAGGTTCCACAAGGTTCCATGAAGGAATGTTCTAGAAGGTTCCAGAGGTTTCTAGAGGGTGATTCATAACATCTGTCTCCCTCACACACACACTGATAACCTGGGTCCTAGATGTGTGACCGTTTTAATCTTGCTCAGAGGCAGCAAGCAGTCAAAGTACTGCGAAATGCTGGATGGCTTGTGGTTCCAACTTTCGCACCTTTAGGCCGCCAAACTGGGAATATCTTGGGACGCCAGGAGACAAAAGAATCCGGCCCGGTTGATCCAACGACCTGCCGATCTGCAGTCGACCGCTCTACCACTGAGCTATAAGTTCCTGTCGTGTGCTACATAATACAAGGATTCTTCTAAACCCTTGCTGTTGTTTTTCTCTTTTTTTTGCGAAATGGAGCTTTGCTGCTGGTGATGTTTGTGGCACCCTCTTTGCAAGCTCCTCCTCCAGCCTCATGTGTCGTGTGTAAAATTCTCCCTCGCTTGTGTATTCCCACCGGTTGGGCAGGATTAGGATGTGACAGCAGCACTACACACAACCAGTTCATTCAATCCCACAAAAGACAACCGCACTTCGCTCACTTGCATCTGCTTTCCCGCCAGCACAAATCAGAGATTACAGAGAGACTGGAATTGTCACGTTCCTTGTCGTGGTTGCCCTGGGAAGCCGTTTTGCAGCGTAAATTGCTGGTTGATACGCACACTGGCAGCACTAGCACGGCATTGCCGTGTGCACCTTGGCACCTCCTGCCACTGCCAATGCAACTACGTCAAGGCTGTCGACCTTGATGGAAGCAGGGTTCCCGCAGGTCCGCAGGGCAGTTGCCTCCATCGGGGGAAACATTCGCAGTGGGGGTGAAACCTGGGGCCATCTGTTCTGCATCATCATCTGATCCAGCAGTTTACCCCTCCCTCTTCTGTTCTGAGCCACGTGAGGCACGGCAGGCAAAGCAGGTGAAAGGCCTGGACAGTACAGGCTTGCTCCTTAAAAGAGACAAAGGTTGGGCAACTGTTCCATGGTGGGGTACCAATAGTTGTGTGAGAACTTGCTTCAATTAAGTTTAATCCACCTCACCTTGGGTGCTGGATTACCCATATCTCGCGGTGAGAGTTATATCTTTCTAAAATATCCACGACCAAGACGCACTCAATAGGAACGCAGGCCCTCAAAACAAACAAGCAAAAAGAAAGGAACGGGATCTGCTCGTGGCTTCAAAATATGCTGGCGTAAGGGATGCCGTAGCCAAAGTCCCAGACACTGATGACTCCGAACTTTGTTTTGGGAAACGGATGAGAATCTCGTTCATCCCAGTTGAAAGTAAAGGGAAAAAAGGAAGAGGAAAGCTTACTTTCTCGCTGCAAAAAATGGTGGTCGAGTCCATTTTAAGGGTCATGAGGAAATTGTTTTTTCGTGGCGCGTCTCCAATCGTGAATGAATGCATCATGGAGCCAGTGTCAACATCGAATACTAAAACGGACAAGAAGTTGCTGCAGACCAGCCTCGTGTCGTGAAGGGAAACTGTAAAGGATGCCCACGAAGTCTTGATCACTCTCAGGCACTCTGCCGTGTTTGCATCCCAAACGTGGAGGGTGTGATCGTAAGACCCTGATGCCACGCGCCTCCCATCGTACGAGACAGCGATCGAGCCCGTTCCAAAGTCACGGACATGGGCGGACGGCTCGAGCGATCGCAATTTGATAGCCTTCGTCGTGGCGTAAGCAAAGCGGTCGCCGCACAGATCCAAGCTTCCGGCGGCAACAAACAGCGGATCCTCGATAGTTTCGACCAACGCTCCCGTCGTCCTGTCCAGAATCTTGGTCGCCGCGTTATAGCCCGTCACCACAACTTTGGATCTGTGGAGACAAATTGACTGTCTCTGCGCCGACAGCCCGTTCTCCGTTGTCCAGGCGAGCTCTCCGGTCGCGGCGTCCCACAGCCTGACGGTTCCGTGCGCAAAGCCAGCGACCACGGCGGTGGCGTCGAAATCGACGCACGAGACCCACGGCTGGTCGTCACCGCGGAACGCGCGGCGCAGCGACCAATCGCTCCGGTTGCGCAGCTCGACCGCGTTGCCTCTGCCGAAAACCGGCGATCCAATCGGCGCTGATTTGGATCCGTTGGGCGTCGTCGTTGTGCCGCGAGAACAACGGCGGGCCGCGGGCCCAGCGGTCGGCGAGGGTCATACGGTAGAAGTATAGCGCTTTCCACGGCACCGAGTCGATGGGTGGGTGCGGGGCGTCCTCTTCATCGCGAGGGTCGGCGGCGAGGTCAGGATCGCGGACCAGGACGGCGCTGTTAGCGCCCCTGTGGGCGCTGTATCCGCCGTCTTGAGAGTCAGGATCAAGTTTTGTGTAAGCGGGGATGCGGATTAAAAGCGGGGTGGTGTTGGCGGGGGCGGCGACGGCACAGTTGGGCGAGGGACCAGACGGCGTGCGCCACCGCGACAGGAAAAGCGCGCGCCACGGAGCGTCGCTGCTGGCGCGAACATTCCAGGCGGAGGATGCGGAGCAGAGGCGGCCGAGGGATTCGCGGTCGAGAAGAAGAAGAATCCTCTGGACCAGCTCGGAGGGGAGACGCGCAAAGTAATCTGCATCATCGTCGTCTAGGTTTTTTTTATATTAACCGTTGTGAATATCACGATCGAACATGGCGAATGACGACGACGAAGGACGATTTGAGACGACGATGAAGAACAAACAGGAGGACGGTTATTAGTAAGTAGTCCACGATGAAGAGAAGGAGAAGAAGAAGAAGAAGAAGACTGGCTTACCGCTCAGCATGCTCTCTCGTTGTCGCTTGTTCTGCGTGTTTTGAGTGTTTTGCTTTCTCTTGTTTTCGCTTGTTTCTTTTTTTTAATGTTTTTTTTCTTTGGTTTTTCTTTTCCTTTCCTGGGTTCTCCATGACCACGCCACAATCTGTACTATTATTAACCAGTAATTATTGCAGTAAGATAGAAAGACACCCCCCGCCCGAACCACCACCGAACCACACTCGGTCCTTCCATTTTTGGGTGTCTTCTTCCACGATGGGATTTAATAAATAATTATTTGTTTTTGCTTTCTTGGTTGCTTCAGAATCTGCGACGTGTCTGAAGCGTTTGTTGTTGTTGTTGTGCTCATCCCATCCATCACTGTCAGCCAGCTCCATCCGCCCGAGATCTGTCTGTCTGTCTGCCTGTCCTCCTGCCTGCCTATCTGTCTGTCTGTCTGTCTGTTCGCCTGTCTGTCTGTCGATCTGTCTCTCGGTGCGTACCCACCTGTCTGTCTGTTTGTCTCTCTGTCACCCAATTGCTCGCGCTTGTTTTCTGTTCGCTCTGCCTGCCTTTCCTCTTCCGTCTTCTTTCCGACTTCGCTCAATTCCCAATATCCCAAGCCCTCTCTTCTCCCTCGTCGAACGAAGCTGCTGCGAGGGAGCGGGCCATGACCACCAACTCGACCACTTCCGCGGACTGCACTGCGTACGCCGCCGCTCTCCCCTCCGTGGCGAAAGCGGCGCCATGCTGCCAGGGCAAAAACAGCACCGGAATCTTTTGCGACTCCTCAAACACCTTCATCACTTCTGTGTACGTTCCTCACCTGCCCCTTGGGCTTTGCGCCCCCCCCCCCCTGACCTACCCCGACTGCAGCATTCTCGAAAGCTTTGGCCTCTCCGGTCCCGTTCCGCCCGTCTTCCAAAACTTCTCCAGCCTGCAGACGCTGTAAGTGACCCGCTAGCGCCATGCCGTTTCTCTCGTTTCTGAAACAATCGAAAAGGGATCTGCGGTCTAATTACTTGACCGGTGAAATTCCATCTTGGCTGAATAACTTGAAGTCTTTGGATTATCTGTAGGTTTCTTTCTTGCGTTGTGCATCTACTGCATTTGTTCTCACGATTGCTCTCCTCCACACTAGTGATCTCTCAGATAACAGCTTATCCGGAACGATCCCTTCCTTCCTCGGGTCCCTTAAGCTTACTTTCTGGTTCGCCTCATCCTTGTCTTTACAACACAGCTAATGCTCCGTTTCGATTTCGCCCTCAAGCGATCTTTGTTGCAACAAATTTACAGGCACCATTCCGACATCGTTCTCGTCCTCCGTTTCTCTCACTGCCCTGTCAGTAGAAAGTTTTTGCGAAACGATTGAACGCACCCCTCACTTTCACTTTTTTAATCGACAGGAGTTTTGCGGCAAACGAGCTGACGGGAAAGGTCCCCGATCTAAGTGGGCTGAGAAAGTTGAATGACCTGTACGTATGGCTTGCCCCCGATTCTCAGCATGGACAACTAACGGTACCAAAAGTCGTCTGGGAAACAACTTTTACGACCCCCAAACGGTTCCGACCTGGCTGGGCAATCTTCCGAACCTGCAGGCCCTGTACGTTTCACGGGGGATCAGCAACCTGAACCGATTGCCTAAGCTCACTCTCTTCACATAGGCAATTTTCCTCCGGGCAATTCTACGGTCCCATTCCGGATAACTTGGGCACCTTGACCGGATTGACGCAGCTGTGAGTACGAGGGCTCCAGATCTGCACCGAGGGCCTTTTGACTGATGCGATACAGGTTTATGGACAATAACAACTTAACGGGACCGCTTCCCTCTTCATTTGCCAACTTGAAGAGCTTAAAGACTTTGTGAGAGCAATCACCCGCTTACGAAACTTCCGCCATCCTGACTCGCTCCCCTCCAGGCAGGCGAAAGGCAACTTACTCAGTGGCGCAATTCCAACCGGTTTGGCATCAATTAGCACTTTGACCACGCTGTAGGTCTTTCTTTTTTCATGGTTTGCGATTCGACGCAAAAAATGCCAACGAAACCACCTCTTATCCAACAGTGACCTCTCTGGGAACTGCTTTGATCAAACCGTACCTTCAAGTCTGCTGTCAAAGTTCCCAAATGCGTAGGTTTCATTACAATGCTTTAAAGTGAGGTTTCCGATTTTAATACTTCGCGCAACAGATTTACAAACAGCCAGTCCGCATGCGATGCAATCGCGAAATCGCAGAACGGCTCCGCAACATTGCCGCCGTCAACGTCTTCGTCGACCGGCTTTCCGATTGGTGGTATCGTCGGTATTGTTGCCGGTGTTGTGGTTGTTATAGCCGTTGTTATTGCGGTTGTGTTTTTCAACCGGCGGAAGAAGAGCGGGCAAGACGTGAAAACGGTATAGTTTTCTGTCGGTTTAGCCCGCATCTCTGACGTAGCGACGCGCCAATAGGAGCATTACGCGCCTCAAGCGGCCAGCCAGCCACCAGCTTTCCTTGTCAACGAAAACATTCCGGCGGCGGCTCAGATCCCACCAGCTCCCGTTTCGCCCGGTGCATCCGCCTACAACTACAATTACAA